TTAAGCTTGTTCTAACTTTCAGCTACATTTTTAACATTTTTTTTTGCTAATTTCAGCTGTTTTCAGGTAAATTCAAGTTTTTAATGGTAATTTTTGCTACTTTCAGCCTAATTAACTTATTTCTGCTAATTTCAGCTTTATTCTTCTAGTTTCAGCTTTTTCAGCTACTATTTAGCTGTTTTGATGCTAATTTTAGCTTCATCAGCTAATTCCAAATTTTTAGCTCATTTCAGCTCTTTCCTCCTTCTTCTAATGGCTTAATCTTTTTTTCTGCCTTTTCAGCTACTTTTCAGCTATTTTTTTATTTCTGCTTTTTTTTTTTTAGCTAATTTCCTAAATTTTGTATTCATTTCTGCTTATTTAAACATAATTCAGCCAATATGTGTTCTTTCTTCTTTTCTTTTGCTAATTTAGGCTTCTTCTTCCATTTCAGCATTTTTTTAAGCTAATTTCAGCTGTTTTTCAACGGGTTGCTCTGCAATAAGCATTCACACTGACAGGAAATACAATTTCTCTATCCAAAAGAAAGTTAAAAACAAAACAACTGGACTTTATTTGTATCTTTAGTTTACTTGATTTTATATCGCCCATCACCGAAAGGTAAACGTGGGTGATCATGTTTTTGCCTGTCTGTGTGTTGACAGTTACTAAAATACGGAATGATCCACTGGATGTATTTTACTGAAGCTTGCAAAAAGCAATCATTACATGTACACCTACAACTGACTAACCTTTGGAGCCAACCCATTTCAAGATGGCTGTCACAGCTAATCCATAGTAGTCAACACAGCTGTGGCTTTAACTCTAATCTTAGTCTAAAACAGGTCATAAAAGGTGGTGGGCATGACGTAAAGCATAGGCTCTTAATTTCACCAGAATATTCATCTGTTGTTATTTGCATTACAAATGTCTCTGAACAGACAGATACATCTTTCAGCTGTAAAAAGAAAGTTGCTTCTATGTCTGAATAAAATATAAAAAGACATTAAAAGCTGTAACACGCCCTGACTCTGGAGATTTATGTGTCGCCGCCATTTTAGAAAAGTGTAATTTACTTTAATTCCACATCCATCACCTCGCTGTTCTTCCGTACCTTCAGGTTTGCAGAGTTCATCTTCACTGAGGAGTTTAAGACGGGTTCGCTCTCCGTCACCAGCATCTGCAGCCTGTTCGAAGGCCTGTCTGCTTCCTCGTGGACCTCCTGGAGCCGGATCAGTCGGAGGTCCCTCTGTTCAGCGTCTTCGTGTGAATGTGGCCTCCCCGACCTGAGCTGACGTCCAACCCCAGAACGAATTACTGTGATGGTTACAGCAGACACTGTTCAGAAAATAATTTACACTTAAGGTCAGTTAAAGTAGAACAAAGGTCATGTTGTGTGTGAATGTGCAGCTTCAGAGCTTTTTCAGATTAAGTGCACTCACCGTATGTTCATTCCAGTTTAGTGTCGGAAAACAGCGTTTAGTTATCGAAGCAGAGATCTGAGCTGTTCGCCAATAAATCTACTTTAACTTTATATAGTTCCTGAAATTGCTATAGAATCATGGACTTTATAGTAGTTTGATATTTTAATAGAGTGACCTAATGCAAAGTTGGGACATTTTTTAAATACAAATAAAAACAGAAAGCAGTGATTTACAAATAAAATAAAAATCCACATTTTATTCACAATGGAAAACATTAAACAAATTAAATATTGAATTTAAAATAATTTTAAAAGCATTCCCGAGCCCATGCAGTGGCACCTGTAACAGAATCAGCGTTGGATAAAAAATGTCCTCTGTTCATCTGAATCACTAAAAGAAGCCACTCGACGACAGGAGGAGATTTTTGAACTGACAACAGGCTTACACAGATGTTTCATTGAAGTCCAGTCGTGAGGATCTGCACCAGACAGTGTGCGAGAATACTTTATATGTTTACCAGCTCCCACAGGCCTGATGACCTCGGCCTCTCAGCTGTACATGCAGGATCAAGTCAGCTCCTCTCTGAGAAAACAAAGAGCTCTCTGAGCTCACACACATGGTTCAACATTCATTTAACTTTAGTGATAAACATCCTCGACCTTGACTAAAACTCTCCTGACAGTCACACCTGAGATGTTCACAATGTTCCACCAAGGATATCCTGATGCATGCTCAACCAAGGACCAAGGAGCATCCATAGTTTCTCCACCAGCTTCTCCATGCAGGGTCATAGGGCAGGTTTTGCTAGAGATCCCACATCCTTCACAAGACTTATCTTCTTAATTATACCTCTTAATTTTACAGCCTTTGTTGCTCCTGACTCCACTTTCTTAAGATTTGTTGCTGCTATTTTGCTTATTGGAAGAAAAACACACATGCACACACACATATATATATATATATACACACACACACAATATATATAAACAAAGAAAAAGACTCTAAGATCGGAAGAGCGTTTCCATTGCTCA